CATCTTCATATAGTCATTCCACCCCAAACTCGTGTTATCCCCGGTCTTATTATCTGCGGCAAACCGCCCATAGCTATCCCTGTGCACATGACTCGACCCATTACCTGGCTTCTGATTCAACACTGACATCCTAAATAAACACCAGCAACTCCTATCCAACGCCATCGCATTCTTCTCTGTATCTTTACTCTCCAAACACATGGACAAATACTCCACTCCATTAACAATACTCTGATAAACACTAATTCGTAAATTACACTCCCCAGCCGGGAAAACAGGGCTCATTATTTTCTGTGTCTTTATCATCTCCTTAAACAAACTAAAATTATGCACTTTCCAAGTAAACTTCCCACTCAAAACATCCCCTACAACTGGCCCTACAACCCCACTCCCTCCCATATTTGAGACAATATTCGACTGCAAATCACAATTATCACGGGCAAAGGAAAAGGACTCGTGGAGGATTAAGATATCTGCAGTAATGACAATGCAATCATTCGAGGAATGCAGGAAGCCAAGCTTAGGGTCTAATAGGGAGTTAAGGGAGGCAAAATCGCACCAGCCGTGAGACTTCTTCTTGGAAGAGAATCGGTGCCAACTGTCACGGTGCACGGACTTTGAGGGGTCCGAGGGATTGTCAATGGCAAGGCGGTAGCTGGCGAAGCAATCCCACTTAGAAGAGGCGGTGTTGCGGGGGTCCATGATTTGAAGGTAAATGGAAAGATATCCAGGCAGCGCCTGCGAGTCACCCTTGGGGTAGATTAACAAACGGCAATCGTAGCCGCCGACCTCAAAGTACTTGCTCCACAAGGCGCGCGACTTGATCCTCGGGAAATTGGCGATGGTCCACTTGCAAACAGCAGAATAGTCCCCACGCCCCTCCACCACCACCGACTCCGCAGACGCCGTCGTGGCGATGGCGGAGGTGGACGCAACATCCCTCGACAGATCATCAATCGCCACGGAAGGCTTCTCAGGAGGAGGGGATTGGTGGTGCAATGATGAACTCGTCAATGATGACGTCATTGGGGTGGTATCGCAGGAAGACACTGCGGCTTCAGCGGCGGCGGACGGCAGGTTTTGGTGGTGGTGGTGTTTCATTGATAGGTTTTCTAGGGTGGTCTAGTTGATTGATTTCTATGTATATATATGTTCTCTATCTCAATATGTATGGGTGTATGTATCGTTTTATTGCTGATTGATCAATATTGAGAGATAAATAGAGAGAGAGACTGTATGGGTGAGAGTGAGGATATTGGTAGATGGTAGTAATACCCCAATAGGGGTTTGGGACGACAGAGCCATTTGTTTCCACATATTTACCATGTTTGGCAAAGCTAAAAATATTTACTTAAGTAACTTTACTTATAATTAGATAAATATGTATAATCATTAACATAGTTAACTAAATTTGGTGGCCATTATTTTGATAAAATTATATTTTGAATAGTAATTTTTTAGAAAATGTGTAGTTAAAAATTAGGTAAAAATTTCTAATTTTCAAATAAAATATTTTATTATGTAAATGTATAGTTGAAGATGAGTATGTGAATAAAAAAAGTTTTATTTTAAAGAAAGACAAATTGGCGAAGTAAGTTTCTCGTTCTAACATTCGCATGGCACCGTCATAAAGTTAAAGTGAGAATTGAGATCATGATAAAATTTTGTAGAATTCAAAAAAATTTCGAAGACTTTCATCTAAAATAGAATTCTCATGGGTTTTGATCAATGGGTATGAAATTTTCGATTCTCACGTTTTCTTTTCTCCTCTCCATAAAATAAAAAATAATTTTAAAAGAATAAAAATGTAAGTCATCTTAATTAAATAAATAATAATCAATATGATGTACCCTTAAAGAGTAAACAAGAAATTAATATATTTAAATTTAGTTTTTTTAAATATAAAATCTTATAATTTTTAACTTTTTTTTCATAAAAACAAGAGATAAAAAAGTAAAGAAAGGAGAGGGGGAGAGAGAGAGAGAGAGAGAAAATCAGTATAAAATTTTAATTTTTAATCATGACTCTAATGTTAGTTGGGAAAGGAAAGAGAAATAATGAATGAAACAAAAAATATATATTAATTTATTTTTTTGTGAAAGTCTCTCAAACTCTTAAGAAGAATGAGAGACAAATTTAATATGGAGAATGTGTAGTTAAAAGTAACTCATTAAAATATGATGGAATTTTTTTTTTTTTTAATTTAAAAGTAAGTTTGACTTGCATTTATTTATGTTAGAGCAACATGTAATTAATACAATATGTCTTATTTATTTTGTTTGGTTACAAATTTGGGCTGAAATGAAAATAGGGCAAATAAATTATTATTTCATCTTTGGATTTTTGTTGGCCCTTCTGAACAATTATTGGAGTAACTTTGAAAATTTATATAACGTTCCAATAATCTGAGAGCAAACCACAGTAAACAATCATGTTACTGTACAAAAAATTTGCTACTTCTTTATGTAGAAATAAATTTCTATTTCGTTTCATAATCTTACTGTTAAAAAATATATTTCATAATGTTAATTCTTTTTTAGTTTGTGCATAATTTGAAATAAGTTTTGAGCAAGAAATAATGGGTAAAAAGACAATTGTAGTAACTCAAATTACTACTGAGTTTAGTACAAACTTTATTTTATTTTTAAATGGTTATTGAGATTTTTCCTTTTGTTTTAATTTAGGGGGTATATTCAATTGAGACTTTTAATAACTTTTTTAGATTTAAAAAGTTTTTGGATATTCAATTGAGACTTTTTGAGATTCTCTAAAAGTTACGGTGTATTCAATTCAGATTTTTATAAACTTTTAAAAA